TTTATGTATGTCAAACAATGCGGACATATATAGACAGGTCTGCTTAAAATTCTTTACATACATTTAAACAATACACCGGGCAGTTGTTTACTGTAATGAAGAGAGTGCCGGACTCTCTCAATTAGGTTCCATTTCTGTGTTTTAGTATTGTCATCTCAAAGGGAAGGAGTTAGTCTTGATGATCCCCAAGGTCCTTTTTAGCTAGCTCTAAAATCCTTTGAGTCAGTGACTATAATGCAATTTTTAGCCTAATTCCAATACTAAGTGTTTTGCCTTTTCAAAAGCAAAGAGGAATGTTGCTAATGAACTAATGCTTTCATGTTTCAGTCAGTGCCCGGAAAAGTTTATCATTGTAAAGTGTGACTGCAGATTTGTTCTTTGGTAAACTCTTCTGTGTTGGGACCACTTTCATTCCCTGGGTACTTTTAGAAGAGGTCAAAATCAGAACTTGAACCTTGTGGTGATCTTGATTTTTCTTCTTAATATACTGCTTTATGAAAAGCAATTTTTCTTTCCCTGGCTTTGGCTATCTTTGCACATAACAAACACTCAATAAATATTTATTGAATTGAATGAATTTGACCTTTTAGAAGGCATAGTCCTGGTGTAAGGTTATTCATTTTCGGCAGGAGTGGTCATAAATTAGAATTTAATACTAATCCACCTGATGAACTTCATGCTTAGCAGCATATGGTAGTTCAGCATTGTATGTTGCATGTTCCTCAGTGCAAATTTAGAAAACTGTGTGACCTGTAGAGTCTGATGAACTGACTAGCCAATTTCAAATCTACTTGCACCGCTCACCCATGGATTTTCTGTTTCCCCATGGTTTTGAATGAGTGCATTGACTCTGCTCTTCACACACTGTGCACTCTGCTTCCTCTCAAGCCTTTGCACACCCTTTGCATGGACTACTATTTCTTTTACAAATTTCGGTATGCCTCTCTTAATGCTCCCATGTAGCATTTCATACATTCCTGTTTTGCATTGCTCAAATTCTCCTGCAATTCTTTTCTAGGCCACTAGTCCTTTTCACTACAAAACTCACAGATCTGTGATTTCTTTCTTTCTATATTCTCTAGCTCCTGAAACAATGCCTGACACAAAGGTTTGTAAAATAAAAAAATGAGTCCCAAAGTTTATGTAATTTGCAAATGGAATAAAATAAAAATGTAAATAAGTATAGCCAGGGATCATTGATTATATGTCTGGTACTAATTAAATTATGATATAGGTAGAAAGAAGATAAGCCTGAGATTCAGAAGATGCAGGCTCTTGTGTTGGATTAATGACTTCTTAATAGTCCCTTAATCTTTATAGTTCTTAGTTGCTTTATCTGAAAATGAATGGTTTGGACAGGATCTTTACTAAGATCCCTTAGAGCAGAATTGCCTTGCTCCTAAGTTAATTATAGAGAACTAGGTCTCTTCTGCCAGACTCCTTGAGGCAGGAAGTATCTTCTAATCATCTGTAATTTCCTGGCACAAAGCTTAGTACCGGGTAAATAGTAGTTATTCAAACAATATTACTGAATGAAACAATAAATTCCCAGAGAGAATTACGATTTAAATAAAGCAAATGAGGAAAAGATTAGGTAGATAATCATTAATTAAAAATGTTTAACATTTAAAAGAATCTATTGAAGAATAGTTATTTGCAATGTCTGAAAAAAGTACCTGGGAGAAATTTTTTATTTATCAATTAATATATTCAACAATAGAGGAAATGAATTTGCAATTGCCCAGTCCCCTAACTACAAGTTAATAATTTTTTAAATTGTAACATGTTGTACCAAGTTTTATGTGCTGAACTTAAACTGCTCCTGGAGGATGTTAGTAGAGATATTTTTGAAATTTGTATATACTTTTGATACTATTGTTTAGTCTTAAGAATTGAAAAACTATCTTATTTCAACTAGGATTTCTGAAATCATTTACATATTTTGACTTACTCAGACTTTAGGGCAGTTTTTACATTTAAACTATGCCTATACCTTTGGATTATTGATTTGAATATTAGTGTAGTTAAATCATTAAAACAGAGAAGTAATATAATCGTACTATTTATGTATTTCATAAATACCTTATGTATGTGTGTGTGTGTGTATATATATATATATATATATATATATATATATATGGTATGTGGTTTTCCAGAATTAACCAAGTCATCTGTATATCCATTTATTAATTCTGTACTATATGCTAGACAGCTCTGTTTTGGGCACTGTATACAATGAGGAGGAAGATATGAAGATGCTCTCAGTGAATGTAATAAATGGTTGTCTTAAGTTAGGGGCTCATGCTTGATAGTTTGAGGAAGATTTTTTTTCTCCCCATAAAAAATTATATGTTTTTTATTTTATAAAAGCAAGAGAGATAATAAGTTTAAGAGTACTCTTTTCATTTGTTGTTTTCTTGAGTTTTTGAAAATTTTAATTAATTTTTAGAGAGGAAGGGAGAAGGAGAGAGAAAGAGAAACATTGATGTCAAGTATGGGACATCAATCTGTTGCCTCCTACCAGGGATCCAGCCCACAACCTGGACACGTGCCTTAACTGAGAATTGAATCAGCAACCTTTGGGGCATGCCATGACATCCAACCAACTGAGTTACATTGGCCAGGGCTTCTTATTTTTTTGTTTGTGGTTCTTGAAAGTATTATTATTCAGCTGCCTTCTATTTGGCCCAGACATTTTTATGAGTATCCAACAGTGGATGCAAGTTTTGCATGATCTGAAATTTGGAGGGGTCCTTTTAATTAAAAAAAAAAAAAATAGCCGAAACCGGTTGCTTAGTGGTAGAGCGTCGGTCTGCGGACTGAAAGGTCCCAGGTTCGATTCCAGTCAAGGGCATGTACGTTGGTTGCGGGCATATTCCCGGTAGCGTGTGTGCAAGAGGCAGCTGGTCGATGTTTCTCTCTCATGGACGTTTCTAGCTCTCTATCTCTCTCCCTTCCTCCTCTCTGTAAAATATCAATAAAATATATTAAAAAAAAATACAAAAGTATAAATACAAAATTGGATATGAAGGTCAATTTTCTTTGAACAAAAATGTTATATAACAAGTCATACTTTAAAAGTGAGAAATTCACAAACATCAGGGAATTTCCCCTCTGTACATTTTATACTTTGATTCTCTTACATTATCCACTGGACACACTGAGATGACCCGATTTGACCTGGACCTTCCTGCTCCGATGCTGGGCTAGTCAGTATTGTGGGCACTTAAAGCATTTCTGAAGCCATTCTTTTATTACAACTGCTGGCAGTAATTTAATTCTAGAAGTGACTGTGCACTTCACATGTATCTTCCACTAAAGCTAAACTAAATGTATCTTCAGCCCAAATTCTAATTAGCCTGATTCCATAAATGCCCATGTCTACTCCATTGCCAACCAACAGGATACATGTGATGGAAGGAAAGTCATATTAGAAAAAGATGGCAGTCTTAGCCAGTTATGTTTAAAATGTCTTGCTCTTGAAAATCTTACAAAATAATAATAATAATAATAATAATGATAATAATAATAATAATGAAGGCCTTGAGGGAATCTCAAGTTTACTCTTCATTAGCTTTTCAGTAAATGTGCCTGTATGTGTATATTTTGCAAGTTCACTCTATGTATGATCTTAAGCAATTCCCAATGATTTAATTAAATAATTGGATGGTTCCTTATACCCTGTCACAAGAACATGTGAAAGTGAATGTACTCGTTGAGTTATTATCTTTTCTTGATTGCAGAAGGTATTTTCAGTTCTAAACACCCAGTGGTTGTGCAGCACCTGATGGAATGACTGAGTGGTTATACTGTAACACAGGTTTATAGGCATGGTTGATAATCTGGGGTGGTGGAAAGGCTCGTTCTAACCTGACACCATTTACTACCTAATAACTCAGTTATTAAAATTGCACTTATGTTTTATTCTCCTTAGGGTTAGGAACAATATATAAAACATTAATTAAAATCTATAAAAGCATTTTACCTAGGAGTTCAATGTAATAAAGTAATGTATAGATATGAAACATTAGTTACCAGCAGAAGAGTCTCATTTCCTCATTTTTATTTTAAAAAGAGAATGTTAGTGGTATGCAATAATTAATACCCTGGAGTTCTATTAAGTCATGAACAATGAGACATTGTAGACGAGAAGTTGAAAACTTTAGGACTTGAAAGTAAAGGATGATTAAAGTAAAACAGCAAAAAACCAAAAACCAAAAAACAAACAAAAAAATCCCCCCAAAACAACAAACAAACAAATACCACCCAGAGAAAACCTCATGTATATAAACAACATTATGGTGATTACCAGAGGGAAAGGGGGTTGGCAGGAGGTAGAACAGGGTAAGGAAGAATAAATGGTGATAGAAAGAGACTTGACTTAGAGTGATGAACACACAATACAATATACAGCTGATGTTCTATAGAATTGTGCACCTGAAAACTATAATATATACTGTAGGTCCTCGCGTTATGTCGGAGTAATATGATTTTTCGCCTTAAGTCGGAACCTATCTACATAAGCACCTACTATGTCACTCACATGGAGCACATACACAGCAGTAATGAAGTAAAACTAAAAAAAAAAATTTAAAAGAAAGATAACAATTCCTGACCTTTACTTGTGGTAAATTACGTCGAAATGGTGGAACTTTTATATATATATATATATATATAAATGGGAGATGGTGACATAACCACAAAATGACTTAAGTCAAGTCCAATGTAACCTGAGGACAGCCTGTAATTTTATTAACCAATGTCACCTCAATAAATTAAATTAAAAAAAATAAAACTGAATAGGAGGAGAAGGAAATAGGTTTTAATTGTATTAAGATAGATATTTGTCAACTCTTTGTAGACTGGTGTTAATAATTTAAAGTCAAAATTTTTTCATACTATGGAAAATAAAGAAATAGTACATAGTTTACTAAGTATCTCTATAAAAAAAAGTATTTGTGGTTCATATGAAATGTTTTATTTTTGTCTTTGTTTTTTAGGTCAGACTGTGCCAAAATCCCAAACTTCAGTTGAAAAATAGCCCACCATATATACTTGATATTTTACCTGATACATATCAGCATTTACGACTTATATTGAATAAATACGATGACAACCAGAAACTTGCCCAACTCAGTGAGAATGAATATTTTAAAATCTACATTGATAGTCTAATGAAAAAGTCGAAGCGGGCCATAAGACTCTTTAAAGAAGGCAAGGAGAGGATGTACGAGGAGCAGTCACAGGACAGGTAAGGCTGTTTCCGATTTTATTTCTTAGTGTTAAAATCATTTATGTTGCTTTTTGTTTCACAGGTAGCATAATGTCAAAATGTGTTTACTTTGGGGAAATGTCATTTCAATTGTGTATTCACTTTTCACATTATCTAGATCTTGTAGTTTTACAAAAAATTGTGATAATAGCTAATTTGTGAGAGAGTGTTCTTATTTTTTTAAAATAGATATTATATTTTAGATTTACAGAAAAATTACTTGGAAAGTACCCTCTCTCTTATATGCAGTTATTCCTATTATAAATATCTTGTATAGTGCGGTACATTTGTTACAGTTGATGAACCAATATTATACAGAATTATTAACTAAAGTTCATAGTTTGTATTAACGTTCACTCTTTGTGTTGTACAGTTTTGTGGGTTTTGACAGATGTATAATGTTATGTAATTTTTAGCGCGGTATCATCTTAGAATAGTTTCACTGCTTATAAAATGCCCTTTGCTCCTCAGTATGGTTTAACCCTCTTATGAAGTCATATTGTTGAAAGTACGTAATAATGTAATGTTTTCAGACTGGCTTCCTTCACTTAACAATATGCATTTAAGGTTCCCCCATGTCTTCATAGCTTGGTAGCTCATTTATTTTTATCACTGAGTAATACTAATTACATGGGTAGACCACAGTTTGCTTATTAATTGACTTGTTGATGGACATCTTGGTTCCAGTTTTTGGCAATTATTGATAAAACTGCTGTAATTATTCATATGCAGGTTTTTGTGTGGACATAAGTTTTCAGCTCTTTGAATAAATACCTAGGAGTATGATTGCTTGATCTTATGGTAAGCTTATGTTCAGCTTCGTAAGAAATTCCTAAACTGTCTTCCAAAATGGCTGTAATGTTTTGCATTGCTACTGGTTTTCTATTGTTCCACTTCCACCAGGATTTGATATAAGAAACACTGTCTTTAAGATTTGATATAAGAAACACTGTCTTGATTGAATGTGTGGGTGTTGTAGATGTGGGTGAGAGATGTAGTTTCCATTCTCATACTTGTCTATTAAGTGAGAAACTGGACTAGGGTGGAGGAGACAGCAACTGACTCCTTATTTTGTGTCTATAATTTTTGAATTAGAGACCCTTCATTAAAGCTTCGTTGTTTGGCTAATTTAATGTTAAATTTTATGATCTACGGTACCTTAAACCAAGTAAAGAATATAACAAATCATTTGATTTCTAGGGTATTTTAAATATATGGAAATATTCACTGATAGTGCTACTTTACTTAGATTTCCAAACTGAAAAACAAAGACAGTATTAATTAAAATATATAATGTTTTAACATAGTTCAGTTGAATTTCAGTTTAAGATAACCTCTGTGGAATTTATTTTCCCTTTATATATAGAAAAATCTCTAAGAAACCTCTAATGATTCTTTCAGGTTGGAAAAATTAGCCTAATGATACATATGATTGTATAGAGAAAATTAATTTACCTAGGTATGCAGACTCTGAATTTATTTGTAAATACTAGAAAAAACAAATAGTACAGAGAGAATAAAACCATCTAATTTAAACATAGGAAAACCCTCTCCCAAATGTAAAATGGCATAAAGATTTATTTACTCATAATTTGCTCTCTAAATTAGTGATGATCCCTAACATAATCATACTAGTCTAGCCAATTATATAACTGTAGATTCATCACAATATTCTTGGACCAGTTTATATATCTTGAATGTGGTAAATCTTCCAGTTGCCTTTTAGCTTAAAACTCTTAAGACTGTTCTACAGGACTGCCCAGGGCAGTTTGGATTGCCAGAAGGAACCAGAAATAAGGTAGAGATGTATCCTAGTGATTATTTCTTCTTAGGCCTTTCAAGAATGGCCAAGATTGTGAAATGCTAGATGTTTGTTTAAAACTCTTATTTTCAGCCGAAACCGGTTTGGCTCAGTGGTAGAGCATTGGTCTGCGGACTGAAAAGTCCCGGGTTCGATTCCGGTCAAGGGCATGTACAGTGGTTGTGGGCACATCCCCGGTGGGGTTTCTGGCTCTCTATCTCTCTCCCTTCCTCTCTGTAAAAAATCAATAAAATATATTTTTAAAACTCTATTTTTACTTCGTAGTTCTACCATTGATCTAATGAAACTAAGTTCTTCTAGAAATATCTTTACAGTTCTTAGTAGCCTTGAATTCCCAGATTTAGTAGCCCTGAAATTCCTCCTGGTCTCTTAAAATTTACATTTTAGGATATTAAGACAGTGAGAAGGTGTGTAACTTCTAGGTCAGGAATTTGAGTTGATACAGTGTTTTAATTGGTTGTAGTAATTTGTAATATGGTAAACTTGTATCCCACTTTTTACATCTTTTATAGTAACTTGAAACATTTGCTAACTCATTAGTTATAATAACTATTTCATTTATAAATTTTTATATTTATGACTTTTTGTGTAGGAGCATATCATAGGGACTCTATAAATTTTGATTGATTGTAGATTTTTGTAGATGATGATAGATTGCATAGTGCTGACTGATTACATTGATACTATTTAAACTCTGTGTTTTAAGTGTCTAAATTTTTTCACTCTCCTAAATTCAACCTTAAGATAAAGTTTATTAGTATTTGTGCTTGTCTAGCATTCCTAGTTAGATTTCATTGTCATCCATATTCCATATTTTCATAGTATTCTGTGGCCAGCTGTGTTTATACAAAATTTACATTTGATAAATATCTTGGTCCATTGTAACAAGGACATAGATTTTTGACTTATTTTTTTTAATTTGGTAGTAATATGTTTTTATTCTCAATTCTAGATTCCCTTAGGATTCCAAATGCAAACTGAGGCTGAAATGTGCCATTGTATATAGGAGCTCTTGGGCATTTTGTTCTATAGACTATATAAGAAACAGTAAAAAATGATTATCATTGTTAGGCAATAGAGTATTCTATTTAGTAGAATGGCTGTTACATGTATGATACACTAATTATTGGGAATATTATAAATTCCCTAAAATATATTTATATTTTTAATTCTACAAATGATGTCACTAAGTACATTAGTATTATTAGGTTAAAAATGTAGGACAGTTATAGTAGAAATATTAACATGAAGTTCATTGTGTAAATCAGTATTTTCTCTAGTGATTTAGTACTTTATTGAAGAAAATTATGCTAGATGAGTATATGAATCAAAATGTTTATTTTAACGTTCCTATTGTATTAAAAATAGACTCTGTGGATGCTTTAAATGTAAGGGCAAATGGGTAAAATTCATGTATCAATTTTGAACTATTTTTGCTTTAACTGATTGTGAAAATATGAGTAGTCTGAATTTTTAAAGTAACAACATATATGTGATAAAAATACATTTTAAAGTAACAAAATATATGTGATAACAACATATATGTGATAACAACATATATGTGATAAAGTAACAACATATATGTTATAAAAATGCAAGCTTCTTGCTTTGAGAATAGGTGGAATAGTGACTTCTGTAGAGGCAGGCTGCATGCTTTGCTCGACTTTTACAGTAATCTCTTCTTTCCCTAGTATCACTTTTCATCCATGGTTTTTTCTTTCTTCTACTTATAATCGAACCTCTCCATGAGCTCGTGCTTCTCTAGCTGAGTATCTAAACCATTCTGAGCTGGTATTTTTTGGAAGAGTAATTCAGTGATTTTTGGCACACATAATGTTTTTGTGCGTATGTGTGGAATGGAGGTTAAGGATCTTATGGAGAAGGGGTAATTTATAGTTTGAAGTACAGAGAAGAAAACAAATATCGCTTAAAGTGTTAGTGGCAAAAGCAAATGGGTATGAAGATAGTGATCACTGACAAATGTTAACACTGATAGAATGCCTTTCTTTGGTGACTTGACTGGCAGTTTCATCAGATGACCATTTTAATAATAAAATGTACTTTTTCATATAAAAAGTTATGTATTAATCACAGACTCTGCAAGGCCTGATGTTGGGCACTGTTTTTAAGAACACTCAGAGGTGATGGCCTAATATTCAGATCAGGATATTCAGATTTTCCATATTTTAGAACTGTTTCAGTGAATCAGAGTGCTGCAACCCATTGTTTCCCTCTCACACTCTGGTTTACAACCACTGAAACAAAACCAAAAGTTGACTGAGGTGTTAAATAGCTCTGTGTTTGATAACCTATCTGTAAAGAAAATAAAGGCTTTTAAAATATTTGTGCCAGAGAGACACACAGATGTTGTGTTATTTTTTATGTCATTTCAAAGCCCTGGACCTTTTCTTGTGCACATGTATTGTAGAAACAAACCATAATTTGTATAGTTGGTATAATTATATTCACTCCAATTAAGATTTTTTTTACAAGTATTTTGACATAAAAAAAATTAGTTCTAGAAAAGGATAGCCTTTATTAAAATCTTTCAGGAAAAGAAATATTTTCTCCACTGACCATTTGGCTGAAGAAAGAAAAATGTATAACCTGTTACATTAATAAAATGCCTTTCCTGCTAAAGAACTGCAGATCACTTGGCTTGCTGTTTATATCTGTGTTGTGATTTATGAGTTAGTGTACCAAAAACATTGTGGAAGTGACATATTAAAGATACATAGTTCAGTTAAAAGTTGAATTAAAAACATTAATTACCACAATAATAATAATAAAAGTGACAACAACACACAAAACTGCAAACAAGCCTACTTTCTTTCCTCATACCACTATATGACAACATTGCTTTGGCCAAAGAATAATGCTGCATTAATTTAAATATTTATGTTTGTATAAACACAAAACATGCTGGTTACATGGTCATAGAAATAGTTCAGAAATTCCTCATGGGTTTTCAGTTTAACCACCTAAAGAGATTGACCTGTTTGCACAACGTGGGCTTTATGTAATAGTTTTAATTACTACTGGACCTCACAGGTTAATGGCCTTGTTTGTAGTGTCACGTAGTTCCACATTTTCTCCAAGGCAGCTCTGTGCATAGGAGCAGGAAGTGAGGAAAGAGTGCTGATGAATTGAGTACAGC